TTTTATTTGCTAAGATTCACTTCTGTGTTGAATTACAGTAATTTGGAACACAGGCAAATCCAAACAAGTCGACAGTTATTTCTCGCAGTTTACGCCAAATATCAGACATCAATTATTTTATCAATAGTCCTTTCATGGTATACCTGTATAAGATTGCTGATTGTAAACTTCAGCGTTATTGTATTTCCAATATGTTTTCTCTACCACATCATATTTGTTTGGTCTATCTAATTTTAATGTGTTCACATTTTTTTTTGTCGTTTTTAATTTGAAGAACAAATAATTTTAATAGTGTTACAATTTGTTTTCATTCCTTGTATTCAGAGATTACAATCCTTCCCCTATAAGGTCAGACATGCAATTTGGCTATGGATTATATTGTTTTTCTAACATTACAGTTAATGTTCTTGATTTATGTTTGATACTTTGATTTGATCTATCTGTTATTCGTCATGTTGGGGGTATATGCACAAATTCACTGTCTGTGATTTCAAGTAATGAATTCAAAGTAATGTCAATATTTGAGACAGACTCATCCAAGGTGAATTGATTTTATCAATATAATAAATGGTTCTTATAGAAATTAAAGTGTGTAACAACTGTTAATGTCGTTAACTGCTCATTTTCAATGTTTATTTTAATTCAGGAAATAAAGCTGCCTTTTTAAAAAAAATTTATTTGATTATTGTTTTTATTTTCCTATGTTATAAAACTTTAAAGAACAAGGTGGCATACATACAAGTTGAGCTGTATTGATAACATATCAAAACATTGGAATCATAATCCCAATGTCAATGAACTTAGTCACTAAAAATTAATGCTGAATCTCCCATGCTTACCGCTTGAGGGCATTCAGGTTCAATCAATAATTGTCTTTTTTCACTGCACAAATTGGAGTCAGGTGTGGCGAGTTATTAAAACGGCTCAATGTGGTAGTTATTCTATCTTGACGGTGATTTCATTGATTTTATGTTAAATCTAAAGTCTAAGCTCTTCTCATCTACAACAAGTTATTGAAAATGACACAGTCCCCATTAAATTTTTGAAGGTTGTCGCGAGCATTTCCTTGAAACTTGAGTCCCAAGTGGCGTATACACCAGATTGTTTATTTACATCAAATTCGAACATGTGTTGCGTGACGACGCCTTCGGTTTAAAAAATGGCAAAAAAAACATAGATCACAAATGAAAGCATGTCCAAGTTATCACATTTTAAACAAACAAAATGACCGCCAGTCGGCCATATTTTATCAAATTGCAAATTGAATCGACATGTACATGTATCCATTTATGACATGCTAAATATCAATGAAAATGATACATGAGTGAGAGATATAGTAATATGGCCAAAAATAAAAACTGCCGTTATTCGACCATCTTTGATCTGATTATGAAACAAGCGGACATGTATGATGTGCCAAATATGAATGAAAATAGTACATCAATCTTGGAAATATAGTAGTAAGGCCAAAAAGTCAGATGGCTGTCAATTGGCCATCCTTGATCAGATTTTGAAACAAATAGTCATGAACATGTATAATCTATGTACCAAATTTGAATGAAAACTGACAAAGCATGTCCAAAATACAACATTTTCAAAAAACGAGATGGCTGCCAGTCAGCCATTTTTAAATATGACCTCAGATGCAATGTCAATGTGATGTTTTAATATATTTGCATAGCTAATAATATAAACAAATTGATGCTATGCTTTTATTGTAGAGGTCATAGGCCCTTGGAAAGCA